TCCTAAAAATCAAACTTTACATTAACTAGCAGAAAATAATCATTTTAGATATTACAGTGTGTGAGACTGATCATAGATTCTAAATCAAAGTCTTGAAGAGGTTTCTGGAACAGCAGGCTGGAGTTTCACTGGTTCTTCATGAAGAAACACTCTACACGATGATGATGATGATTATGATGATGATACACTCTACACGATGATGATGATGATGATGACAATGACGACGACAAGGAGGACGATAACTCTAATCTCTATGGCCCACATCTGGCAGTTCTCCCACCAATATTTTCTCTTCAAGCTGGCAGCACTTATTTCAGATTGGGAAGCTGCTGCCTGCAGTGTGTCTGCACAGTCACCTAACTCAGAGAGCTTCTGATCTCTTTCTAACACCTTGTCCACATTGACTCACATGATGTCCACCACTTCATCCACTTGATTCTGTGTCTGCTGAAGTCTCAGATTACTGCCCGAGGGAGTACTTGGATTTGCAGGCACACCTGTAGACATTTTGCCTGTGGGGGAGGAGGGCAAGTGTTGAGGGAGCGATGGAGCAGGACTGGAGCTAAACTAACCATTTTTAAATGCATTAGTCTTTTAAATTATGTAGAAAATAACACGTGGAGTTGCAAACCAAAGTTATGATTATACTAGTTTTTAGACTAATAATTGTTTTTTCTTTAGATGTATTAATCTCTTAAATCACGTAGGAAAGAAAGAGTACATGTATAACCATTGTTACAATAATACTAGATTTTATAATTGTCCATGTATGTACTTTTTTTTGAAACTTTTATTTCTCCATACAGTTTTGAGTTACTATCTAGTTGTGTTTTGTTTCTTTTTCATTTCACCTTGCAGGATTCCCTTGTTCTTTTCTTATAGGGCAGATCTAGTGTCCATGAACTCCCTTAGCTTTAGTTTATCTAGGAATTTGTCAATTTCCCCCTCAGTTTTGAAGAACAGTTTTTCTGGATATAGGATTCTTGGTTGACAGTTTTTTTTAACACTTTGAATATGTGGGTGCACTGCCTTCTGGCCTTCAAAGTTTATGATGTGAAATTCACTAATGATTTTATTGGGGATTCCTTGTATGTGACAAGTCACTTCTCTGTCGGTGCTTTTAAGATTCACTCTTTGTCTTTGTCTTTTGAAAGTTTGTTTAAAATGTATCTCCATGTGGGTCTCTTTGAATTCAACTTACTTGGAATTGATTGAACTTGGATGTTTATATTCATGTCTTTCATCAAACTTAGGTAGTTTTCAACTATTTCTTCAAATATTTTCTCTGCTCCTTTCTCTCTTCTCCTTCAGAGACTATAATAATGCATGTATTGGTCTGTTTACTGGTGTACAACAGTACTTGCAGACTCTGTTCACTTTTTAAAAATCTTTTTCTTCCTTTTTTTCAGACTCATTAACTTCTATTGTTCTATCTTAAAGTTCATTGATACTTTATTTTGACTGCTCAAATTTGTCTTTGAATCCTAAGAGTCAAGTTTTCATTTCAGTTGCTATATTTCAGCTCCAGAATTTCGTTTTGATTTCTTTTTAAGTTTTTTGTTATTAATATTTTCACTTTGTGTGTGTGTGTGTGTAGACACACACACACACACATATGTTTTAATTTATCCACATCCTCTTTTTTAGGGACAGTTTTCTGTTGATTTTATTTTTCCTTGAATAAACCCTGCTTTCTTGTTTCTTTGTATGTTTGTGATTTTTTTTTGAAAAATAGGACATTTGAATCTAATAATCTGGTTACTCCAGATTTTCCCTCTTCCTCAGGGTTTGCTATTTATTGTTATGTATTTATTGGTTGGTTGGTTGGTTGTCTCTGTGCCAAGGACCAGTCTGAGGTATAAACCTAAAATCTTCTCAGGTCTCTTCTATGCCTTTCCCTGGACATGCACAGTCACTTTCTAATTTTCCTATGTATGCAGTTGCTTTTGAATGCTCTTATTTAATATCTGGATCCCAAAAGGAGAAAAAGAGAAAAATGAAAGGTGAGGAAGAAAAATCACTGATTCTTTAAATTGCCCAAAAGTCACTTCAGCTGGAATGGGGAGGGGTTTGCCACAGTGGAAGAAGGTGCAACAATAAGGGCTTCTCTCCTCTTTATCATACCTCTCTGATCTGAAGTATCAATCAGTGATCATATCACAGACCTGCCTACCTTGGATCCCACAGGCTGTGTGCAGACTGCTCCAGGAACTTGTGCATAGCTGCCTGCCATGGAACTAGGGTATGGGGGATGGGTAACTGCTAATGTGCTAAGTGATGAAATTGGCCAAAGTTAATGATAACTTACCATCCAAATCTTCCTCTGGAAGTTGCAAGCCTTCAATAGACTTTGCAGTTCCAAAATAGTTACATTAGCCAGATTCTGCCAGCACAGTTGTTGTCTAGGTGGGGAGACAGATTCCTGGTGCTTCCTTCTCTGCCATCTTAGAATCCTTTCTTGTGTACACAGTTTTTATTTCTATGGATAAATGCCCAAGAATACAATTTCAGGGTTATCGCAGTTACTTCTTTATAAGAAACTCAAACTTTTTCAAAGGGTCTGTATCATTATACATTCTTACCAGCAATGTATGACGCTCCCAAGTCTCTGCATCCTTACTAATTTTTGGCATTTCCACTATTTTTTATCATAGCCATTCTAATGGGTGTGTAGTGATAAATGTGTACTCATTGTGGTTTAATTTTTATTCTCTATTGCTTAGTGAACATCTTATCATGCGTTATTTGCCACTGGTATATCCTCCACAGTGAAATGTCTCTTCATATATTTTCCAATTGGAATGCTTGATTTTTTTTTTATTTGACTTTGGAGAGTTCTTTCTATATTATAGATACTAGTCTTTTGTTGGATATGTGGTTTGCAAATATTTTGCCCAAGTCTGTGGCTAGTCTGTAGCATCCTCTCAACAGGGTCTTCAACAGAGCAAAAGATTTTTAATTTTGATGAGGTGTAACATCATTTTCCCCTTTTATGGATCATGTTTTAAATCTCAAGTCTGAGAACTCTTTGTGTAGCCCTTAGATATCACAGACTTTTCTCCTATTTTTTTCTGAAAGTGTTACAGTTTTATATTATATATTTAAGTCTGTGATACTTTTTATATAAATTTTGTGGTGTAGGTCAAGGGTTTTTGTTTTTGTTTGTTTGTTTTGCCTATGCTTGTCCAGTTACTCCAGCACCATTTGTTGAAAAAACTCTCATTATTCCATTGAATTACTTTTGCACCTTTATCAAAAATCATTTGGGCATATTTGCGTGGGCCTATATCTGGGTATTAAATTATGTTCCACTGAACTATGTGTCTATCCCTTCTCTTATACTATACTGTCTTGATTACTGTAGCTCTTTAGTAACCCTTAATATTGGGTAGAGTGATTCTCAATTTATTATCTTCTTTTTCAAGATTGTTTTAGTTATTTGGGGGTTGTGACTTTCCATATACATTTTAGAATCAGCTGGCCTAATTGTACAAAAAGCCTTGCTGGGATTTTGATGGGCATTGCATTAAGCCTGTGGATCAGTTTGAGGAGAATTGACATCTCTATGGTATTGAGTCTTTCAGCCCTTAAACACATATGTCTCTCCATTTATTTAAGTTGTCTTTGATTACTTTCATCAATATTTTATACTTTTCAGCTTACAGATCCTGTACTTTCTTTGTTAAGATAACTAATTATTTAATTTTCTTTGGAATGGTTGTTAATGGTACTATGTTTTTAATTTTAGTTTCTATCTGTTCACTATTACCAAATAAAAATATGTTTGTTTTTTGTGTGTTGGTTTCAAAGAAAAGAAAAAGGTAGCTTTTTACTACTGTTTCCTTACTTCTATTTTATCTATATCTATCTATCTATCTATCTATCTATCTATCTATCTATCTATCTATCTATCTATCATCTATCTATCTATCACCTATCATCTATCATCTGTCATCTATCTATCATCTTTAGGTGACCTGTAGAATTGTCTTTAGACACATATTGGGTAACTAATTGACAACACTCCTGCAAAGATGGTATTATTGTTTTTATTTTATAGTTGATGCAATGAGCCTAAGAACTTGCTAAGCTGGTATATGACAGAGGTGAGATTCATACCCAGGCTGTACAGGGTTCTTTCCAATATGCTGTACCATCTCAGGGTTAAAAATTTTTTGAAGGCCTTACATGGTTTATTTTCTGAGAAGTTTAATTCCTGAAAATGGCAATCTTATTAGAATTACTAGATGTTCCTCTAGTTATTTTCTTCCTGTCTCAGTAGACAATGCACAAGTATCCACTGGCATTTAGTGTATTGGGAAAAATTGGGTTTCATTCCCTCAGAGTTTATAAAAATTCTTTATATTTGAAATTTAAATACTCACCAAATTGGAGTTCATTTATTCATTCTTTCAACTACTGTTTATGAAGGCAGGTATTATTTTAGGTACTGGATATACGAAGATGAGTAAGACACTGTCTTGGTTTAATTTGCTTACACTCAAGTGACGAAGACCCAAAGGAGAGCAGGTAGAATAGAGGGTGGTAAGTGCTCTGATGGAAGTAAGTACAGCTGCTACCCAGCAGTGTGCTGGTGCTGGCTCATACCAGCTTGTGAGAGCCTATTATTAAATATTCAGAAACTGTGTAAACCTGTTTCACCAGTGGTAGCTTGAAATTGGCTATGGTCAGAGTATTTATACCATGGAAATGAGAAAATACTACAAATAGGGCTTTCCTTTCCTTTTTCCTTTCTTTACTTTTCCTTAGGCCATCCAGTTTACTAACATCTGTTGGTATGGGAGTAGAGGTATTAAATCCATTCCTTTATCTCGATGTAACACAAGCCCATTCTGCATGCCATGTCATAAGTTGTTTCAGGACCAGTTGCTTCTGGTGATTTAAGCAACAGCCTTTCACAAACCTGGTGGCTGTTCCCCTTTTAGATGATGAGAACCAGACAAAGTCTAAATCCCCTGTGGGTTCTGTTTTTGTTACAGAGAGTATAAAGCCGCTAACATCACCATCAACTTATATATCGTCAATGAGCCTTGGCTCTTCTCACTGGCCTGGTGCTCCAGGATACACTCAGTGACCACAGACAACATAGAGCTCCTGAGGCAGATAGATGACCCTTCCTACATCATGGTGAGCTGACTGTCCAGATTGGCCTTCCAAGTCTGGGATAATAAGAGTATGTACACTACCTGACCTGTATATTGCCCACTGTGTAGTCCACTGGAGAGCTACTGAAGAGCAGAGACATCTATGATTTTGGAGATGTGGCATTCTCCCTTCTCTCACACATATTCTACTGTGTACTTGGAAATGTTCCATTGGCCGAAGAAAATCACATGGCCAAGTCCAGATTCAAGGTTGATGAGCAGAGAAACAGACTTCATCTCTTGATGGGAAGGAATAGCATGGTCACATTGCATACATTTATTTTCACTCGGATTTTACAGATTTCAGTAACTTTTAATTACACTGTGCAATTATAACAATAAGTACAACTGTTCTAAGCCATCTGAGGCGGAAGAACAACTTATTCTTGGTGTTGCTTGGTGATGCTCACCTGGTGGGCATCCTGGAGCAGGCCAAAGTGTGTGTCAGTATGTTTCCCAGAGGGGATTAATGGCCTCATTTTAGTGGAAGCTGGTTAAGAGCTGCTACTGTACCTGCCTAGCAGGGCAGTTGTGGGGATTAGATGTGAAAATACCCTTAAAGTGCTTAGGACACTTCCTTAGCTCCTATAAATGCTCATTAATTATTAGTCGTTCTTATGATGATGATCATTAGTGTTTTTATTAATATTATCATTCAGTCCAAGGCAAGACCTTGGGATAGGGTGGAGAATGGCCTAGGAAAAAACGCAAAGTGCCAGCCCCAGTAGCATCAAGTACCATGGAGGAGGAGGAGCAGAGGAGGGAAGGCAGATGGAACCAGGGAATCGGAAAACACACCAGAGGCCCCAGCAGGTGGAGCTCTGGGATGTGGCGATTCAGGCAAGGAGAGTGGAGCAGGGGGCATGCTAGGTGAGGGAGAATTATAATTTCATCCTGCTTACTTGAAGCATCATGATAGAGAACAATGATTTCTAAATGCTGGCNATCCTGCTTACTTGAAGCATCATGGTAGAGAACAATGATTTCTAAATGCTGGCAATGGACTGGTTGCTTCAGCATCACCTGGGGAGCTTGTTAAAAATGCAGGAACTCAAACTCCTGAGTTCTGTAGGGAGACCCAGAAACCTGTATTACTGAAAGCTGCCCAGGTAGATTTGGATGCACAGCCAGGCTTGGGAAGTCATGCCAGGAAAACACAGAGCACTGGAACTCAAGAACTTGGGCTGTAGTCCTGGGTCCAGAGCGGACTTGCTACGTGACTTCTCCGGGACTGCCTCGGGCCTCTGTGTTGAGAGTCAAGGGAGATGAAGGGTGTGAAGTTTCATTCCCTATAGAGCCCCCACACATGGAAGGGGTGATTGTTAGGACAGCAGCAGGTATTCTCTGTGTTTGAGGTCACCACATCAAACAAGCTTCCTTCCCCTGGCCTGCCACTCCATCCCCAGCCCTGGCAGCAGAGCAAGGGAGTTGGCCCATATGACTGAAAATCCCTTCCAACTATAAAGTTTTTTGACCGTGATTTGTTTTGTATTTTGTAGACGCCGGGTTACTATATGTTCTTGTGGTTTCTCATGGATTGTGTTTCTGCAGTTATCATTTATGCCATATTTTATTTTCATTGGTAAGCCTACATTTGTAATTTTTTAAATTTATTTTTTAACTTAAATAGAGTTGATATACAATCTTGTATTCATTGTATTAGTTTTAGGTGTACAATATAGTGATTCAATATTTTTATACCTTGCAACATGATCACCCTACTAATTCTGATAATCATCTGTCACCGTGTAAAGTTATCACAATATTATTGACTATATCCCCCTTCCCCTTTTCACCCATCCCCCCACTCCTCCCTTTTGGTAACCGTTACTTTGGTCTCTATTTCTGTGAATCTATTTTTGTGTTGTTTGTTTGTTTTTAGATTCTACATATAAGTGAAACCATATGGTATTTGTCTTTCGATGCATGACTTATTTCACTTAGCAAAATACCCTCTAGGTCTATCTACCTAGGTTGCTTCTATTTCTTGAGTATTGTAAATAATACTACAATGAAAATAGGGGTATATATGGCTTTTCAAATTAGTGTTTTCATTTTCTTTGGATAAATATCCAGAAATGGAATTTCTGGGGTATATGGTATATCTATTTTGAGGAATCTCCATACTGTTTTATATTTATAATTTTACTTTCATTTTTCAAAATAGAAGTATAAATGTTTCTATGGAAAGTTGAGAAAAACAGTTACACTCTTCCTGTAATCCATCCCTCATGGCATGTTCTCAGGAAGACAGGGTTAATCATCTGAACTCTTCATTTCTTCATATGCTGCCTGCAGCTCATCACACCCCTCCTCCTCCTCAGCACAAGACATTCTAAGGATAAGGACTGTCACTAATGCTCAGTTAAAGCCTGTTACCACAGGTTCTATGTGGATCACATGGGGGAGGACAGGGGTCAAAGGCTGTCCAGAACAAGGACCTCCATCTTCCCACCTTCCACAAAACTGGGCATAGCGGGATGCTGTGTAAACAGCAAGTTCACAAACCTGGGAGCCTGGGTTTTAGCCCTCGATTTGCCCCTTAGTTGCTGAGGGACCTGGGAAAATCACTGCCCTTTTCCAGGCGGTAGTCTTTTTCTGCCCAGGAAAATGACATTTGAGAATCTCTGCTAGGCAAATCCTATAGGATTGCAGGGTTCGAGGTGGGAGGGGAAACATCCTGGTAGAAGAATTTTAGCTAGAGGAGACCGTGGTTGTGTAGACCTCACCATGCCCATCATTTCTTCACTTGTGAGTTATCCTTTAAAGGGGAAAAGTACAAATCCTCTGCTTACGTGAGAATTTTACTGGATAATGTTTCTTTTCTGGCTACTGCCTTGGATTATTTTGATTTTTGGAAAAAGTCTCCAAGGCTCATGGTTAGTCTTCTTCCTTCCAGGTGGAGAGAGAACCAAAAAGAAAAAGTCTTCGAAAGCACCAGCAGTTACTCAGGTGAAGTTGGGGGTCTACCCCCTCCTACCCATTGCTCCCAGGACACGGGGTCTGCTTTCCATGTCTCTGACAGTCCTGAAGGAGTCCAGGAAATTGAAGGGTGGGGACTAGGGAGAAGTTGGGAAGTGTATGTAGCTGGGCACAGATTTTGGAGGACCCTTGAGATAAGGCTTCATTTTGGACTTCATTTTCTAAGCAGTGAGACTCCTTGAAAGCTGTTGAACATGGTGTGTGTTTTTTCATTTCTTCATTTATTTATTCATCATGCAGTTCTTGAGTTTTCACTTTGTGCCAGGCACCTTGAGAGGTGCTGAAGAAAGCTGAAAAATGGAGGGTGGCCCAAGAGAGCAGAGTGTTGGCCCACAGAGAACAGCAAGGAAGCAGACAAAAGTACAGCAGTTGACACCATTGGGCCAGGCACCAGGTTCAGGACAGAGAGGCTTCCATGCCAATTAGGACTGAATGTGCTTTATTGAGCTTCTGTTTTGGGTAATGTGTGTTGGAGGGTGGGGGGCAGCAAGGATCCTGAAATCCTGAACTAGAGTCTAGGCTCTGCATATAAGCAGTCAGGAGATGCAAATGAGTTTCAAATGAGGGAGCAATATACTTGATTTCTATGTACAAGGATGGACTAACAGAATGACCTATTATTCAGCAGAAGAACTCCAGGGGTGAGGAAGGAAGATAGACCCAGTAAGGGAAAGGGAAGCTAGATTTAACTTTCAAAATGTTGTGATAATCACATCATTATTGGTTTGGGAAGCCAGTTCAGTGTCAAAGGAAAAACCAATTAGAAGGCAGAGGACTGTGCAGTACCTGATATAATTTTCTTTCACAGCCCCTGGAGCCTTAACTTGTTATAGTCACAAGCTCATGAATTAATTTAATTTCTTGTGGACAGTGGTGAAGATCCTGAGATGCTATGGACCAGTGGTGGATGATTGAATGATACAATACTCAGAGTCAGGAATGGATCCACAGGAACTCTGAAAAAATAAGTTCAGAAATGTGAATAAATTAAGTGGAAGGCAATGGGCTTTCATACTGTGAAACTGAAGGTTCAAACCAAGATTGCCCAAATCTCTTGAAGGGAAAAGAGTTCTTAAGTAACTTTGACTTACATGGATATTAAGGAGATCACTGTACTGGCTGTTAAGAAGACTGAAGCCTGTATTCCAGATATCTTATGATCTTCAGTAGGCTGGTGGCTTAAGCAACAGAAATTTATTTTCTCACACTTATGGAGGCTAGAAATTCAAGGTCAGTGTGTCAGCAGGTTTAGTTTTTTCTGAGCCCCCTGTACTTGGCTTGCAGAGATAGCCACCTTCTTGCTGTGTCCTCACACAGACTTTACTCTGCACGCACACACATCTTCAATGTCTCTGTCTCCAAATTTTCTCTTCTTCAATGAAATTGGATTATGGTCACCCTTATGACATCATTTTAATCAGCTCTTTAAAGGCTCTATCTTCAAGTATAGTTTAGGTTTTGAGGCACTGGGGTTAAAGCTTCAACATGTGAGTTTGGAGGGCACATAATTGAGCCCATAACTGAAACTGAGCCAAAAAATGAAAAGAACATGGAAATGGTGAGGAAATTGTGGATGTGCGAGGAGTTTTGAAAGAAAATTTGAAGATATGTATACATTGAATGAAGAAAGTGGCTATAATGCCTTAGAAAAAATACTCAGCTTGACCTCAATACCTCACCATGTTAAAATGATGATAGAGAAAGTGAATAGAAAATAAGTTGAGTTTTTTTCCTGTTTAAGAGTTTTTAGTTGCCTGTTGCATAAACCAGTTTTGCCTGATCTAAACAGAAAGAAAGGGTATCAAAAGACTGAGTACTTCCAAGAAAAACCTAGAAGGTGCAAGACCAAGTTTGGAATCCTCAGAGGAACAAGGAAGACTGGACAGAATCTAAAACCTCAGTCTAGGCCCATTCAGGTTAGGGGAATAGAGCCCTCAACACTAAGCACAATGTCACCTCTTGCACCACAACCACTCCAGGATGGGCATGTACTGCAGCTGCCACCAGAAGATATTCAGTACCTTTCTAGCTTTGGGATATATTTTTCAGCACTTTAAGGAAGTCAATCCTTTGTCTTATGTCTTATATGGTTTCTTATGAAAAGTCTCCCAAGATAGAAATAGGTTTTTCATTTTCTTATCTTTGTTCCTCTACTTATAATATATCCTTTTTTAAAAAAAAATCTTTATTGATTTCAGAGAGAGAAAGGGAGAGAGAGAGAGAAACATCAACGAAAGAGTCATCATTGATTGGCTGCCCCCTGCTCGTCCCCTGACTGGGGATCAAGCCCGCAACCCCGGCATGTGCCCTGACTGGGAATCGAACTGCAATCTCCTGGATCCTAGGAGATTCCCTGCATTCCTTCTGAGATTTTTCAGTCTGTTCCATGCTTCCTGTGTCTCCAGATCTATTTTATTTATCAGCTTATTTTGTTCATTAGATTCCACATATGAGTAAGACCATGTGACACTTGTCTTTCTCTGACTGGCTTATGTCACTTAGCATAATACTCTCCAGGTCCCACCATGCTGTCTCAAAGGGTAAGAGATCCTTCTTTTTTACAGTTGCATAGTATGCCATGGTGTAAATGTCCAAGAAGATGCTTGATATGATTTCAGTCTTCTTGAACTTGTGAAGACTTGTTTTGTGTCCTAACATGTGGTCTGTCTTTGAGAATGTCCCATGTGCATTTGAGGAGAATGTATACTCTGCAGCTTTGGGGTGGAATGTTCTGCAAATGTCAATTAAATCCATCTAATCTACTGTGTCCTTGTTGATTTTTTTGTCTGGAGGATCTATCCAGTAAAGTCAGTGGGGTGTTAAAGTCCCCTACTATGACTGTATTGCTGTCGATCTCTCCTTCAAAGTCCTCCAGAAGGGTTTTTGTTTTTCCCCCCAGCTTGTGTGAGTCTTTTGTTCTGAGGTGGGTCTCTTGTAGACAGCATATATTTGGGTCATGTTTTCTTATCCATTCTGCTACCCTATGTTTTTTGATTGGGACATTTAATCCATTTATGTTTAAGGTTATCATTGATAGGTACTTATCTCTTGCCATTTTACTTCTTTATGCCTATGTTTTTCTTTCTCTCTATTTCAACTTCTTATTATAGCAGACCCTTTAACATTTCTTGAAATGCTTGTTTGGTGGTGATAAATTCCTTTAGCCATTTTTTGTCTGGAAAGCTCTTTATTTCACCATCTCTTGTGAATGATAGCCTTGGTGTGTAGAGTAGTCTTGGTTTCAGATCCTTGTTTTGCATTACTTGAATACTTTATGCCATTCCCTTCTGGCCTGTGGAGTGTCTGATGAGAAATCATCTGACAGCCTTATGGGAGCTCCTTTGTAGGTATCAACTTGCTTTTCTTTTGCTGCCTTTAAGATTCTCTCTTTGTCTTGAATTTTTGCCATTTTAATTATGATGTGTCTGGGTGTGGGCCACTTTGGGTTCTTCTTGCTTGGGACTCTCTGTGCCTCCTGAACTTGTGTGACTTTTTCCCTGACCAGGTTAAGGAAGTTTTCTGCCATTAGTTCTTCAAACAGGTTCTCTAACCCTTGCTTACTTTTGACCTCTTCTGGCACCCCTATAATGTGACTATTATTATGTTTCATGTTGTCTCACAGCTCCCTTAGACTGTCCTCCTGTTTTTTAATTGTTTTTTTCTTTTTGGTTCTCTGATTGATTTTTTTCTACCCTGTCTTCTAATTCACTGATCTGATTCTCAGATTCCTTTAATCTGCTGTTCATTCCTTCCAGTGTTTTTTTTTTTAATTTTTACTATGTCATCCTTAATTTCCTTCATAGTTTCCATATCTTTTTTCATGCTGTTGAGCATCTTTATGATCAGTATTCTGAACTCTATATCTGATAGATTGCTTATCTCCATTTCACTTAGCTCATCTTCTGAAGAATTGTTTTGTTCTTGTACTTGGGGCTTGTTTTTTTTTGTCTCCCCATTTTGGCTGCCTGTTTGGATTTGTTTCTATGTATTAGGTAGATCTGCTAGGACTCCCAGTCTTTTGGATGGTCTCTGGTGCAGGCCAGTGTCAGACACTATTTGTGACTGACCTTGCACCCAGAGGCTGTTATTCAGTCTCTTAAGGAGCCTCAGGCTGTAGAAACTCCATGGGGTGAGGTGATAGGTTTTCCAGCAGGGTGGGGCAATTGCTTCCTTCCCAGGCAAAAGCTACTTGGAAGGTAAATGTCTGCCTCAGAAAGATGTCCTCTGCCATATGGGGAAATGACTCAGCATGGGGGTCCAAATGGGCAACCTCTGAGATATTTTCCCCCAGCTAGACCCCCTGGATTCTCCCCTCACAGCTCCAGTCCACCCTGCCTCCACCAGAGCCCAAGGTGTGTGGCTGCACATGAAAATTTGTGTTTTGGCCCTTTAAGAAGGTGCCTGCATTTCCAGCCATCTTTCCCTGGAAGACAGAAACCCCACTGCTTTTCACAGCCATATGTTATGTGGGCACCTTTCTCAGTTCTGGTGCTCTGGTCTTGGGAACCCAGCTTGTGGTTTAGACCCCAGAGTTCTCAGTGGGAACTCCCAACAGCTGAGATATCCCTCCAGACCTTCAGCTGCTGCCTGTGGGACCCCAGACAGTACCAGTCTCTACGCAGTCTTCACTTTTCCTCCTTGGTTACGAGGGTGCTCCCCAGTTAGTCTTCAGTTGCAGTTGATTATTCAGAGTGTTTTTTCTATATTTTAGTTGTAATCCCAGTTTGGTCCTGGGAGAGTGTTGGTGTAGCTGCCACTCAATCCACTGCCATCTTGGATCTCTGACTGCTTTTTATGATTGTTTCTTTTGTTACTGGTTTTCAGTAATTTGATTATGGTTTACATTGGTGTACATGAATGTGTGTGCATGTGTGTGTGTGTGTGTGTGTGTGTGTGTTTCTATCATGCTTGGGGTTTGCTGAACTACTTAGATCAGTCAGAGTATATTTTCATCAAATTGGATACAATTTTAGTTTTTATTTTAATATATTTTTTTGTCTCTACCCTTTTTCTGGTATTCCAACTACACATATGTTAGACAGTTATAGTAATCTATATTATCCTATAGGTTACTGAGACTG